CTGGTAGAACATGATTGCAATTACATGTGCTGCTCCCAATTGCTTGGGACAGCAAGAATTAGAAAAGCACCCACATCTCAGAAGTAAAATCAGTTGCAAAGGCATCCAAAATGAAGGAATTATGGAATGGTTTGGGTTGGAAGGGAGTTTAAAGATCACCTCATTCCACCCCACCATGAGCAGGGACACTTTATGCTAGACCAGGCTGCATCTACTATGCAGTGTATTTGAAAATGTTCATTAAAAACCCCAAACCAAGCAACCGACCAAGTAAAAATAAACAAAACACAAATGAAAAATCCCACTGAAAGTAAACAATAGATGGTGAAAACCCTCATGCTTTAATAATCTCTGCATAAACTGGAAATAAACTGCTCCCTTTGCTCTAGATCATCATGTATACCATGAACTAGATGGTCAGAGTGGTCTTCTTGATAATATTTAAGTCTGGACCAAAGAAAAGAGAGGATTTAATAAACTGGATGTCACCATAGAAACAAGGATCTCACAGGTGGAACTGTGTAAACAATGCATATTTTATTTTTAAACACACCACACAAAAAAATCCCATTCTGTTCAATTAAGTGAGAGTTTTTCCTTCATCTTGCCTGACATGAAAACAAAGAGCCAGACAGGCAGAGAGGAAATTTCATTTTTAGCTTTTTATCTTGAATTTTATCATTTCTTTACTTCTTATCCTTAATTCAATTTAAGTACCAATACCTCTGAAACAATGTTCTGTTGAACAGAACAATATGAAATGGCCATATATTTTCATTTTCCAAATTTGTTAATGGTTGCTATTTTCCAGCCTTAATTATTTTAACATGCAACCTGAGCCTGCATTTTTCAATGATTAAACTACTTGCAGAGAAATACTTTTATTCAATGTGGTTCCCAGAAACTCATCTTATCCGAGTCATTATCTTACCCAGCTGCCTGGACAAATTCTAATTCACCTTTCATTTTCTCTCAACTCATGTTCTTTGCCTATTACAGAAGGACTTCCTGGCAATTCTGGAGACGACAAAAGTAATGGCTTTGAAAGAACCAGGTGGGAATTATCACAATGAATACACTATGGGATGGGAACAGTAGCTCATACACATGTTTCACAGCTAATGGTATTTTAGATATGTAGGTATTAAATTCCAGTACTTTTCTTTCTCTTTTTTTTTTCTGAATGGAAGTCCAGCAAATGCTGAGAAGATGACTAAACTCAGATTTATCAGCAGGTCATGTAAAGGTGGCAGTCCTTGTTTAAACAACCAAAGTGTGTTCCTGCTGCCGGGGAGATAATAGAAATTTCTGCCCCATTACAGCAATTTTTGCATCTTTTTTCTCTGAGTCATCTTCCCTGACCATCCCCGGGCTGATGATCACCTCGCCTAAGCTTTAGCCAGGTTAGGGAATCCACAGGACTTAACTCATCCTCTTCTTGAATCAGGAGAGAGAGAAAAAGGCTATTACAGGGAACGATTTATCCCCAAATATCAGGAACCCAGAGCTGGAAAGGAACAGCTCCAAGGAAGGACCCACAGCTCTACTTAATTTAGGTTCAGACTTCATTTAGGTCAGAGATCTGAGGTGTTATTCCCTAAAATTCACAGCTCTACAGGGTTTAGACTTTGTTCAGGTCAGAGAATTGAGGTGTTATTCACTAAAACCCAGAGAGACAAATTCTGTGCCTGGAGACAAATCAGTGAAAAAGAACTTGCAAGGTTTGAGGTTAAGATTCTTACGGCAGAGACCAAAGTCACCACACCTGTCCTGTGTGCTGTGGGAAACCCAGGGCAGAGCTGTGCCCAGGTGATGCAGGACACACCTGTGGCCCCGCAAACTCCACCTCTTTGCCATGGTTTAGCTCATCCACGGATACCACAGAGCTCTGAAGATAAGGAGGCACTATATTTAGGAATTATTTTATTGAAAATGAAACCCACACAATGAAGGAGTCTTTGCTTCTTGTTGCCAGGGTTGGGATTAAATTGCAAGGTGGTATTTCATGTTGGGACTCAGATGTTCTACGTCACTCTATATCAGGGTTTACAGCACTTCACTCTAACAAACTAAAAATGGAACCCCATCTCTCTCTCTACGAGGCCTTTGAAGGATAAACTGTCCAATTAAGAAATGACACCTAAATTATTTTTACTTTTGACCTAGCAACCTGTGGCCACAATGGGGACTTTTTTATCCAATTACACAAAACCACCCAAAGGAGAAGGTGAAGAAGGAGTAGTCTCCACCCCAAAACCTCCATTTTGATTTATATCTATTACTATATTTTAAACCCTTCAACTTGGAGTTTCCCAGCCTGTGATATCACACACTTCTATTCAAACTCCACCCCCACAATCCCAGTTCTGCCATTCCATTTTGGAAGCTTCTCCACAGCCTCAGGTCAGTGCAGTGTTCTCCTGGGGTTCAGTGCCTGGCAGCACAGAAAGTCTGGAATTCTCAGCAACCAGGGTTCCAACAACACAATTCCAACCACACTGTGATCCCTGATTGAGAATAGTCCAAAGATTCCCAGACTAGTGGCAATCCAGCTGGGCCTGGAAGAAAAAGCTGTAGGATCACACAAACTCTATTTCTCCTCGCAGCACCATGGGGGTTACAAGGCCAAAGGAATATCCCTGCTCATCTGCTATTAATATTATGTCTAGGATGTGGATGGTATTTGAATCCCTCTTTCCAGGAAGTCTTCACCAAAAATTTATTATTGTACTGTTTGCCTCCCCAGGCAGTCTAGGTAAATACAGCTTGGCTGTGTATTAAAGAGGAATAAGAAAGAAACATCCTGGAGGCTTTTCCAAGAAATCTGGTGGTTCATCCATTTGAGGTTTGTCCTGTCTGCACCCATGTCTAGCAGAAAACCTTTCCTTAAATTATTCCAGGGTAGTTTGACTGTGACAACTTTCTTTCCCCTTGCTAAGCTGATGCTGAACTCTTTCAATGGCAATGCACTTCCAGGCTTTCAGCTTTACTGATGTGGCTGAATTCACAGTAAGTCAGCATCAACCATTTTAGCTTCAGCTGCTCCATTTAAGGAAAAGATCCTTTATGGAGCCAGAAGCTTGGTTTATGCCTGGAAAAATGAAGATTTTGGTCATTATCACCAACAGAATTCTTTCAATCCAACTTCAGACCTCCACAATGATTGTGTTAATAGGCAAAGCACAAAAATGGGCATTTATCATACAACCTTCTCAGCAGAACGTGGATGCACAAGCAGGGCAAGTGTAAGTTCTGTAAGTATTTGTCTCAGGGAGTTCCAAGTTCTGATTTTGACCTCTTGACTATAAATGCAGTTTCAATATCTAGCACTGATAAAGATCTCTCTAGTTAATTTTAAAACCCATTTTGAGGTGACATGAATTCATCCACTCTATTCAGTGAACAAACTTACCAAATCCTACAATTTTTTGGGTGGGAAGGGACCTTAAAGTTCATCCACTTCCCAACCCCAGCCATGGGGACACCTTCCACTGTCCCAAGCTGCTCAAATCCCCATCCAAACTGGCCCAGGGATCCAGGGGCAGCCACAGATTCCCTGGGCACCCTGTGCCAAGGCCTCCCCACCCTGACAGGGAAGAATTTACTCCCAATATTTAACCTAAATCTCCCCTTTTTCACTTTAAACCATGCCCCCTTCCCCAAAAAAATCGAAAAAGCATGATGATAAAGTCAAGAGAAATTCAACAAAGAGTTAAAGAATGAATCAATGCTTGGAACAGAGAGGTAAGTGAAGCACTTTTCCTTGCATTTGCCTGAGAAAAAGCAAAGTTTGATCACAGCTTGGGTCCCAAAGGGTGCACAGGAGATTTGTTCAGAAAAAGGCTCTACAGAATGGATACCAGAAATAAGCACAGACCCCGTGTCTGTCATCACATGCCCCTGGCTTCTCCCTTGAAATTCTTCCTTGTTCCTACCAGATCTAATATGAATTTAGTAGAAGACACTTTATGCAGAGTCACAAGGATAAATCCATCAGTGCCCAAAAAAAGCATCATTGCCCAAGGAGAGATGGATCCATAGAGATCAAAGTGATCTAGGTCTGTATTCTACTTTACAAGGAGCCACAGAGAAAACTTTCTGGTTGTAGAGACATTTTCTTATCTATGCCCTTCCAACTCTAGGAACTCATTAGCTTGGATTCAATCCTAGTCCTGTTCTTGGGCACAGCTGCTTCAATAAGGGAGACACAGTGAAGTAATGTCTTCCCAGTGGTGCCAGGGGAAATAACAGCAGATAATTCAAAGGCTCTGAGAGAACAAGAAGCTGATGAGACACTCAATAAAAAATGTGAAACTGATAAAAAAAAAAACCTGCTCCATCATCTTTGTGTGATGGAAACATAATTCAAAATCTCTCCTTGCATCACCACGCTGCCTCCTAATTACCATCTCCTACCCCCTGGTGCCCTTACCAGTTTCTTTCCTGTTGATTTACAGGGTAACTTTTAACAAGAATTCAGTGTGATTCCTTGCAGGAATCATCACATCCCTTCAAATCCTTATTTCCTTTCAATTCCTTGACATGCCTGGGAATGTTGCTTCCTCTCTATATTTTTCAGAGGAAGGACAGGAGGAGTGGGATGGAAACAAGGGCTGCAAGTTAAAGATTGATTTGACAGTGAGTCATGAATCACATAATCACCAACGAGGCCTCTTCACTTGTTCTGTTCAAATTCTTGTGCTGGGTTCACTTTTGGCACACGTTGGCTTGTTCCACCTCACTGCATTTTAGGCACTTTCAACACTAAATTGTAGACACACAGATGCAAATCACTCAAGGAACTCTCTCACTATTTGAGAGGGAGCCACGTTCAAGGGACAGTCTGGAATATCTGGTTCCAAGAGTGGAAAGCAAGACAGGGAACAGATGGGAAAAGTATTTCATGCCAATCTATGGTTCTCCATTTCATCAGCAGGCTTCTTTCCATCATAATGCAGATTTTTGGGGTAATCCAGATCTCCAGCATGACCTAGTCAATATAATAAAGACAGAAGCTAAAGGCAGGATTTTTCTAATCAAATGTAGAAACCTAAATTTGATTATTTAGATATGACATGGTCATCCTTTATTCCATGTGTCCAGAGAGAAAAAACAGGCATCATCTAACATATGTTGAGGATGAAATAAATTATGTCTCAGGCTCTGCTTGGTAGACATCCAGAGCTACAAACTGAGGAAGGCAACTTGTTCATTTGTAGTGCAGATGCAATTGCAGGTATCAACATTTAATTAGATAAATCCCCTGCTAAATGCACCTAACCCAGGAAACTCTCATTAATATCTGAGTAACTGCTATGTCAGTCTTTCCTAGCCCCAGGGCTGGGAACAGGTCAGAAGAGTCTGGATGTGAGAAATAGAAATAAAAAAGGGTGCATGTGGATCAGCAGTGAGATTTATCAATTCTGATCTGGCAGAAAATACCTGGAGGGTTGGTGAGAGCTAGAAGAGGGTTCAGCACAAGCTGGGGCAGCTCCACAGTAGGAAAGGGATAAAAACTCAAACAAAGGAAATTGGAAACACTGATGTAAGAAATAGCCTGGCACCACTGCTTGGGGAAGTTGAGTATGGAGTAATCACTGCTCTCCTTCCTCTCTTGTCTGCCTTTGGCTTTCATTACTCCCTTTATCAGTTTAATTCCTCCTCCAGAGCAAAGCAGTCATATTCTGGGTCCTGCTGAGATTTCATTTCCTTCAAATTCTCTTTTCTATTCAGGCTGTTAGTGATGACTGAACGGGAATGGACACATAGGGTCAGCACATGCCCCCGATTTCTTCTCATATAGTTTCCTAAAGAATTTAAAACATTTAAGAGGAAACATCCATCATAAAACTAATGGAAAAAAAATAAACCAAACAGAAAATCTCAAGGCAATCATTGCCTCTGAAGCATTAAAGGCAGGGCCCAGCAGCAAAAGGAGAGAAAACTGCTGTGAAGAATAAAGAAATAACGAGCAGAACATCTGGGCATGAGAGGTAGAGTGGGAGAGAAAGGAGGAAACGTCAGAAACCCCATTTGGTCAACGTTTGTGTTCACTGAACACAGCAAGGGGGTAAAGCAGAGCTGAATTCTTGCAAAATGTAGGAACCAGATTGTTCTTCCTCTCTTGCCACCCAAGGATGGGGCAGAGAATTGCCAGTGCAGAAAACAAGGTCTCTGAACAGGTGCCTTGGAGAAGCACCCTAATATTTTATAATATCATTCTAGATGGTAGAAACACATGCAGAAATACAGAATACAGAGACTGTTCATGTCCCAAACCCAAGTTCTGTACTTGACCCTCTTTGTGTTACCTGCCACAAGAGGCAGATTTTTCTTTTAAGTCACAGTAAATTGACCATGTCCAC